CCTAGGAGATTTAAGTGGATGATGACCATAGAGAGCCAGGGCCTACACTGGCTCCTCGTTCCAGCACAGGCTCCCCCTGCGCAGTAGCCATCACACTTGCCAATGTGCTGGTTCCAGGATCAGTGGAGGCGAGTACAGGGCTGCTTCTAAGAGCTGGCCCCCAAGTAATCCTGGCAAGGAGTCAGGTGAGGACAATAAAACTGAGGATCTGCCAACCAAAAAAATAATACAACAGTGCTAAGTGTAGGTTATTCCACATGTAAAAGAAGAAAGAACCATAGAATAAACAAGTACTGCAGAGCCCTGATATTAACCATGTTTCTTCCCAAAACTCTATGACAAGTTCCTATGTCTACGAACAACATATACCTGGGTTTTACTTGTGAAGAAGTAATCAAGGCAAGGATAGTCCTTGTTCTATGAAAAGTAAAGGATTACTTACAGCTTGAATATAGATCTCATTTGTACAAGTGCACAGTATTTCTGACCATCAGTATTTTATAGAGTGTTTCATTTGATTTTTTAGTCAATGGTATCTGTATGTATTACCAGTGGACATCTAATAGCATTTTCTATTACTTATAAAGTTATTTTTAATGATATCTCTTATATGTCTGTGACATTGATAGGAAATTCAAGGTACTGGAAGAATAATATAGTCAATAAATGGAAAGGTTTAAAAATATGTTAAGACATATCCACATCCTTATAGGAAATCTCAAGTTTTAACGTCTTATCTTCCAAGAGTCTTATTATTCATTGCACAGTTTTAAATTCCTTTAACTGCACTTATATTATGCTGAGCCTTGAAACTGCTTTCAACATGCATGTCACATTTGTTAGTGAATCATATATTACATATGCATATACATTATGTGACCTTTACATACTGGTATACTCCTGGATGCAAAATTATTACTTAGAAATGATCTCTCTCTGGGAAATCCTTTCATTCTGAAGGAATATCCCATCGTTCCAAAATAACCTGACCTTAAGAATAAGCTTATTTGTTTAGGGTATGAGATC